GGACTAGAGAGCAATAGCCAAGAGGCTGGGGAGGGCCAGGCAGGTGGCCCACAGGCCCATGGCAACCAACCGAGGTGTGTGGAGGGACCTGCTGAGAGGCACTGTGTGTCCTGCACACCTCACAGCTCCGCACTCGCCCCGGGCTCTGCCCCCAGGGAGGGCTCTGCTCTGACACCAGCTCTCACAAGGTGCCCTGTGTCTCTGCTCACTGCTCTGCCCAAACCAAACCCTGGCACGAGGCCGAGCTGCCCTGGCTCCTTAGCACAAATCGAGACTCCAGCAATGAACGGGGACCCCCAGACCCAATTTCCCTACGCTCTTTTCTAACGGCTGCACTACAGGAGAGAGAGGAGGAGGGAGTCTCTCAGGGGCGCCCTAGGCCAGGATATCGGAGGTGGAATCCCCACAGGCAAAGTGGATCTCGTGGGCAAGGCAAGGCCCGTTGGGCTCCTTCCCAAAATCCACCAGGAAGTTCTTGTTCACCGTCAGGCCTCCTTTCTCAGTGTCCACGTCAATCTGCAGCATGACAGAGCCTTCCCTGCAGGGGACAAGAGCGCAGCCGTTACAGACAAGAAACCAGGGTCCTGATCAGGAGACCCTGCACTTCATCTCCTGCTCCTCTCTCCTTCACAGCTTGGCTTCTACAGGGAGAAGGCTCCACCAGTGACAGACACCAGTGCTCACCTTTTGTCCCTGGAGTCTCAAGGGATGGGAGTAAAAGCACAGAGTGACAGGGTGGCCAGAGCTTGCCTTGTGCTGGAGCTCATGGTCTGCTTTGCTAAATCAAACCATCTCTGCTGAATCTAAACTCCCCCTTTTCCTCCCAGCTGTGCTCACCTGACCATGTTGGGGTAGAACTGCTTGTCCCACGTGCTGTAGAAGGAGTTGGTGACGTACAGCCTCTTGCCATCCAGGCTGAGCTGCAGTTTGCAGGGGCCGCCGTACACCCTCTTGCACTGAAGGCACAACAGACAGCACTCGTGTTAGCACCAGGAAGCACCAGCAGGGACGGGGCAGCAGAGCAACTGCCTCCCCCAAAGAGGTCCAAAGGAGCCCGGGGGGCAAAGAGGCCACAGAACTCACCTTGATCACCAAGGGCTCGGGCTGGCACTTCAGCTCTTCGTCTCTGCAGACCGTCACGGGGCCGCCCCTGAGGATGCTGCCTCCCACAAACACCTGGGAGAGAGGCAGGGGCAGAGGTGAGGCCTTGGCATCCAGCCCCCACCAGACCCTGCCAAGGAACCCTTCTGCTCCTGCCTCACCTGTCCCACCAGCCTGGGCTTGCAGTTCTTGGAGAGCTCGTACTGGCGGATGTCTCCGTGCAGCCAGTTGCTGAGATACAGGTACTTGTCATCCGTGGAGATGATGAGGTCCACGGTGAAGGCCGGCATCTTGGGCATAATCCAGCCCGACACGTCCTTGGCCGGGATCCGAATCACCTCTTCTACTGCCCAGTTCTCCCTCTGCACAAGAAACACAGGCACGGCGCCGTGAGCGTTCCTGCGGGCGCAGGCCGGGCCGGCTCCCCCGCTGCTGGCACAGCACTTGCCTCGCACTTGTAGAAGCGGTAGACGACGCCGCTCAGGGCACAGCTGACGTAGCCCTCGGCGGCCTCGGGGTTGTGCAGGAATTTCACACTCAGGGGCAGAGAGTCCTCCCCCAGGTCAAAGCACTGCGTGAGCGAGCGGCAGGACAAGTTCCACACGTTCAGGCGGCGCCCGTAGACCCCTGAGGAAACCAAAAGCCGGTCAGAAGAGCAGAGGGGGCTGCCCTTGGACACTCATCCCTCCCCAAACGCGACACCCACGGACCTCTCACACCCTCCCATCGCCCCGGTGAGTCCCAGCTCAGCTCCCACATCCCTCTTCCCTCACCTTTCTTCAGGTCGCTGGGACAAAATCCTCGTCCCGCGCGTTTGAGGGCCATCCCAGCAGAGCTGACCAGGACGTTGTAGCGCGGCTGGTACCAGAAGTCGTACCCGCTTGGGGGGGCCTCACACTCGTTCTCCCAGTTCCCCTTCAGCTCAAAGGTCTCTCCGTCCAGCACAATGAACCCACCTGGGACACAAGAAGGGTTTCAGGACAAAGCACACGCTCCCCTCCCAAGGCAGAGGGTTCTGGCAGGAGCTATCACGGGGCAAAGCACCTTTGGAGTTGCCGGCTGGATCTCCCACGTTGGCAATCAGGATGTCCCCGTTGGGCAGGCTGCGAGGCACGTTGAGGTACCCCTTGTTGCACTTCCAGAAGACGTCCACTGGCTCAATCATCTGCAAAGGGGTGACACGCACACATGTCAGCCTCCCACTCCTCAGCACAGCTCACCCTCCCCGGCACAGCCTGTGCCCACCCGAGACTTCGGGGAATCCCTGATGATGATCCAGCAGCTCTCCTTCCAGGAACACCCTCTGGCCAGGGCCAGCCTACTCCTCCTCGGGGAGAAGAGAAGCCTCTGGGCTCCCCTCTGAGCAACACCCAACCCATAACAGCTCCTCTGTTTGGCTGGGGGGAAGCAGGAGGTGCTGCCTGACTTCCACTCCTTTGACCCTCTGAATGCAGCGGGTACATGGAAAGGAACACAATGAGGATCGGAGCCTTCTCCGGTCTGAAAAGGGCAGAGGGAAACCTGACCCAGGTGTCCTAAATCAGGGTGAGAGAGAAGAGGAAGAGAGAACCCTTCTTCCCCGTGGATTATCCCAGAAGCACCGGTTCCCAACTCCTTCCCAGAAACTGGTCCTGCCATCACCTCAGGCCTACCTTACAGATCTTGGGGGCCCGGCACTGGGACCCCACATCCACCACGTAAATGCGGGAAGAAATCAAACAGGGAAGGATCAGCTTGTTCCTTCTGGTGGAGACATTGTCAAAGCAGGTGCAGCCCGTGCTCCACCCCGAGGCATGCAGCTCGTCCTTGAGGTTGGGCATGGGCAGGCGGTGGATCACCTAGGCAGCCAAGGCAGAGTTAGGGGGCACACAGGGGGAAAGAGGGGGAAACGGGGACCCTAACGCTGGCAGATACTCCTGTCTTTGTGGACTCCATTCGACTGTAGCTGGGACTTTCTCTGGAGACCCTGCTCCTTGTTCTGGGCACAGCCAAGAAATGTGGAGGTTCTTTCTAAATTCCTCTCCCCATGACAGCAAAATGCAGAAAATCGTGTATAGCAAGAAATTATGATTATCATATTGATCAAACTAGTGCATCGCTCTGCAAAATCCTCCTAAGACTGGATTTAAAATCTGCTAAAAATTTCCAGAAGCCTATATTGGCTTTAAAGTGCATTTCCTTCTAAGCTCTGGTAGCAATGGACTAATCAGTCATATTTACACCCCTGGTGCAGGTAACATGATAAGCTCTGACACTGCAGCACGACAGAGACACGTGCTGGATCCTCTAAACCTCCTGCATCCCTAGAGACCATTTTCCACCCCGAGCAGCCCCTGAGAGGGTGATTCCGAGCCTGTGCTCCAAAGCTCACCAGCAGCACCAAGATGCTCTGGAAGTGAGTTGGGAAGTGAGTCAGAGGCGACCTGTCCCCAGGACACAGCGATGGAGGAGATTCAACCAGAGCCAGGCAAACAGAGGAGAGTGGGAAGGGAGCAGGAAGGTGAGATTCCAGGCAATCAACATCCCTATCTCACCATAACACCAGTGGAGAAGCAAGAGGAAGACCTGCCATGACAAACCTCCCAAGGGTTTCCCAGCCAGGAGGTGACCAGGCAGGGCAGGCGAGAGCCAAGCCAGGGTGGAAAATGCAGAAAGAGGCAGGAAGACCTGAAGAAGGTGCAAGGCATGGACAGACGGCCTGCGTGACAGAGTGGCTACCGAGCAATCTGATTTCTCCCAGCTAAAGAGAGTAAATGTCCTGAATCTCAGGGCACTACAAAGTGCTGAGCCAGCAGCCGCCCAATGAAAAGCCAAGACCCAGGTACCTGGCAATAATGTGGAGATCTGGGGTTGAGATCGATGGTGGCCAGGAAGTCAGGCTGGTCGATGCACGTCTCCCTGTAGGTACAGGTCACGTAGGCAACCTCCTCTCGAGGAGCTGGGGAGACAGAAAGCCTCAGTTAAAATGTGCCATGGACCAGCCAGAAAGGAAAAAAAAAAGCTTCAACAGACTCTCAGATGGGACTGAACTCATCTTCCTGAATGCTACGACCTTCCTCTTTGTTCCTCACAACTCTCCAACCCAACTCATCCATTACTGGCCCAGAGGCAAGAGAACACAAGTGGGTCTCCACATTGTTACAGTTTTCTCTTTTGGGGCCAGGGACTCAGCACAGTTAATTACTGGTCATCTCCATCAACAGGGAGCTCTTTCCCAAATACCCCCAATTCCAAACACACTCAAGAGAACTTGCCTTTCACATCCGGGCAGGTGGGGTAGTCGTAGCACTGAACTCTGCATCTGTCTGTTTTGGAAAGAAGAGAACAATAAAATGAGAAGTGTCCCCATCCTTAAAAGGTGCCTATTGAGAAGATTCTGTCCCACCCCATGGACCTTCTCCCACCCCAACTATCAATAGGGACCTCTGTGACCAGGGTCTTGTTACAACACTGAGGAATCACAGACTTTGCTTCTCAAGGCAAAGAGATCCCCTGGAAGCAGATGGACAGTGAGACAAAAGAAACCTCTGGCACCAAACGCCAAAGTTCCATCCCAAATCTCTCCTTCCTGCAGCTCAGCAGAAGATCAAACCCACCCGTCCCCAGGTGGGACTGGGGTTCAAGGCAGGTGTCTGCAGCCAGGCTGCAGAGGCTCTTACCCATGCTGAAGGTCTTCTGGGTCACTCTCTCAAGAGCAGAGGTGCTGGGTCTGGAGGTGCTGCTCGCTCTCTGCCTCGCTGGAGCGGGTTGTGATGGCCAAGGCTGCTCCTGGGGTCCTTATATCCATGGCCAAGGGTGGGGGAGAAACCAAGGGAGGAGCCATCGCTCCCAAGCCTTTGGGAGGTGCCAGACCAGCGCTGGGGCTGGTTTCCGCCTTGCCAACCACCAATCTAGGGCAGAAATCTGCTGCTCCGTGCAGGTCTTTTCCTCAGACACAACCACCCCTATCTGATCCCGGGGCTCTGCCCGTTTCCAATGGACTTCTCCACGCTCTGGAGGCCTCCGTGTCCCAGCTGAGGCTCAGCTAATTAAAGCCATCCCCTCTACCCAGGTTCCTGCCCCACAAATGTGCAGCTGCTGCAAATTCCACAGCAGGGATGGGAAGTCCAGTGAGATAATCGGCCCCACCACCATCTCCTGGAAATTACAAGCCTTGTCCATGTGGAAGCAACCAAAGGCACCTCTGAAATCTGGACCCTGACAGAAGGCACGTCCCTGTCTGAGGGCTCAGCTGAAGACACGACATCCCTGGTGTCAGCTCTTGAAGCCGGGCCCAGAGGTGTCTCTGCCCATAAAGAAGATTTTAAAGAAACCCATAAAGAAGATGAGCCCCTACGGACTGTGACCTGGGACACAGCACTCAGGGAGGGAGGGGGCTCCATCAGCGCTGGCGTCAAAGGAGACTCCAGTGACTCCCAACATCTCCCAACAGCTGGAAAAGATGTCAGGAGAGCAGTCTGTGCCCTTGTTGATGCAGCACCTGCAGAGTCAGCACATCCCAACACACAGGGAAAGTCAGTCCCGGGAAACGGGATGCCTTTTAGGATTTGGGACAACTCAGCGCCGTGAAACAGTGGCCTGAGCAGCAGCTTCTTCCTCTCCCCACCAGCCTGGTCTACGAACACCCAAAGGCCATGGCAGGCACTAACACCACAAAGTGCTGGCACTCGTGCTGTTGAATTACATACAACTAAACTGCCACAAAACACGCAGGGGAACAGCAGAGATCTCTGTTAAAGGGAATGAGGTGTGGGACAGAAGAATTTTGGAAAGAAGGGGCCCCTCCTGAGACGGCCATGAGCCTGGCTGCCAGAAGCTGCCAAGCTAAAGCAGGAAGAGAACACCAAGCCCCGTGGAAGGAGAACGAGTATCACATCTTGTGGAAGAACCCCTCAATTGGTGGGCAAATGACACGGGATAAGTAATTGCTCCCCGCAGGAATGCAGAAACATCTGACAGTGCCATTAAAATGTCTTCGGGAGATCTCTATCAGAAGAGAGGGCAGCTTGGCCCATCTCATTAGGGTTGTAATTAAGTGGCTTCCAGAACAGCACTTTAAGCATGTGACAGGCAGACGCGGGAGCAGACAAACACTCGGTCTCTTCTCTTTGCCAGGAGTGAGCATCAAGCTGCTGGGACTGGAGGAGCTCAGGGTTTGTTCAGCAGAAACCCATCTGGGCAGTTTGGGTGCAGGGGGCAAAGCACTGGGAGAGGGATCGTTACCTGCTGCAGCTGGAGACCTCCGGGCCACCCCTCGGTGCGTGGTTATCACCAACACCCTGTCCCAGGGACATGGAGGTTCTCTGTAAGGAGGGAAACAGTCTTAAAATAATACCATGGACAAAGGGAGAGAGCACGCAAGGACGTGGCTCAGAGCATTCTGTCATTGAGATCCTGGGCAAGAGCAACCACAGGGAAAGAAATTCTACAATTCTCACATCGTATCAGACACGTAAAGGGGGCACTTCTGGGTGGCTTTGCCACAGGATTAGAGCAGCCCATTTAACTGAGCACTGAATCCACCCAGGGCCTGGGAGACCCCAGCAGAGGAACCTTTTCTGGATGTCAGGAAAACCAGCAAACGTAAGATGGAAAGGATGGGAGGGAGGAGGGAAGAGAGAGGCAACTTTTAAGGGACTTCTCCAAGGAGTTTATTCTATAGCCACGTGGTCCTGAGCAGGACCCACAGCACCACTTTTGCACATCCCAGCCTCCCAACGGCAAACTCCAGCTGCAGAGGGACCTGGAATTGGCTCTTCGGGAAGAGAGCGCAGAGACTTTGAGTATCGTTTGCCTGGGACAGCTCTCAGCCTGCGCCTGCCCATCGCAGCCCGTCAAGGCTCTGGTTCACCTCACTCCAGCCCACACGAGTTCACAACACACCATGAGTCTGGGGCCACACGTGCACAAGTGGAAGCAGAGAATCCATCTCCATCTCTGGTTCTTAGAAGCAAACCCTTTCACACCTCCCAAGGGCAGCGAGTTGTCTTGGGGGCACAACGAGGTGCTGGTGTTGGGAACCAACCTGGCACCCAAACATCAGACTCGGCAGATTTCAAGAGCTCACATCTCAAGAAACAGAAGGAAGCCCTCGGTGCAGGAGCAGCTCCACAGCCAGAGCCGGGTGTCCTCCTCAGAAGAGGTCCAGGCCTTGTCCCTGAGGCGCTGCCCTCCTGGTTCCCCGGTGGCAGGAGGCACAGCCAGGCCCAAGGACACACCAGCAGCTCCTGCTCCATCAGAGACAACACCAGGAGCTCGGCTGATGCCTCTTTGCAGGCTCCTGCTGTCACAAGTGCATGTCTTGCTGCACCATCTTCTTGCACCTGCACACCTGCTAATTAAAAAGCTCATTAGTCCTCCACTCATTAGCCAAGTTTGCTGGTCATCCTCTTTGGCTTTCCTGGGTGACGTCTTTGGCACCCCTCACAAAACCAAGCTGTGGGCTGGAGACTTTTCTAATTAAAACCGATAGGAGGAAGGATAAGAGCAGGCTCAGCAACCCCAGGGAGGGATGGGCAGTGGAGAACACCATCAGCTCATGGCCCAAGGAACGCTCCCCACCGCAGGTGGAGATGGGAGTCATGACATGGGGACACCATGGGGGGCTTCAAGGGCAGCCCACCCTGGGGTGGCAGCTCCTGGTAGGACCGTCCCTCCCAGCCCTGACAGGGAAGAACCTGCTGTGATTTTGATCCCGCCGCAGGTGGAGATGGGAGTCATGACATGGGGACACCATGGGGGGCTTCAAGGGCAGCCCACCCTGGGGTGGCAGCTCCTGCCTCCTCCTGACTGTCCCTCCCAGCCCTGACAGGGAAGAACCTGCTGTGATTTTGACACAGGGCAGGACCAGGCCATGCAACCTGCTGCTGGGTCTGGCATTTCACCAACAGGCACCGAGGAATCATCGCCAACGCGTGCACCGAGGGGCCCCAACTCTCCCTTCAGCAGGGACCGTGGAACAGAGAGGAAAAGGGATGATTTTTTGCAGCGGGCAGACTCGTAGGCACCCTCACTGGAAACCTGCTGGTGGGTGAGGAAAAACGCCCAGCAACTAAGAAAGGTGCAATTGCCCTGCTGATGGGAAGGAAGGTGACAATGGGAGGTCACCTCAACAGCACTTGTCCAAGAGGTGCAGATACAGACCATCGGAGGAGCTGCTCCTTCTCAATCACATCACTGGAGTAAGACACAGCTTCTACAGTACGGACCAAACCGTGGTGATTCCAGTTGTGGGCAAAGTCTCTGGTGAAAAAAGACACGGAGATCAGAGCCCCGGGATCAGATAGGGGTGGTTGTGTCTGAGGAAAAGACCTGCACGGAGCAGCAGATTTCTGCCCTAGATTGGTGGTTGGCAAGGCGGAAACCAGCCCCAGCGCTGGTCTGGCACCTCCCAAAGGCTTGGGAGCGATGGCTCCTCCCTTGGTTTCTCCCCCACCCTTGGCCGTGGATATAAGGACCCCGGGAGCAACCTTGGCCATCACAACCCGCTCCAGCGAGGCAGAGAGCGAGCAGCACCTCCAGACCCAGCACCTCTGCTCTTGAGAGAGTGACCCAGAAGACCTTCAGCATGGGTAAGAGCCTCTGCAGCCTGGCTGCAGACACCTGCCTTGAACCCCAGTCCCACCTGGGGACGGGTGGGTTTGATCTTCTGCTGAGCTGCAGGAAGGAGAGATTTGGGATGGAACTTTGGCGTTTGGTGCCAGAGGTTTCTTTTGTCTCACTGTCCATCTGCTTCCAGGGGATCTCTTTGCCTCAAGAAGCAAAGTCTGTGATTCCTCAGTGTCGTAACAAGACCCTGGTCACAGAGGTCCCTATTGATAGTTGGGGTGGGAGAAGGTCCATGGGGTGGGAGAAGGTCCATGGGGTGGGACAGAATCTTCTGAAATGACACCTTTTAAGGACATGGACATTTCTTATTTTATTCTTCTCTTTGCAGACAGATGCAAAGTTCAGTGCTACGACTACCCCACCTGCCCGGATGTGAAAGGCAAGTTCTCTTGAGTGTGTTTGGAATTGGGGGTAATTGGGAAAGAGCTCCCTGTTGATGGAGATGACCAGTAATTAACTGTGTGTGCTGTGTTCCTCCCCTCAAAGGTAGAAAACTTAACAATGTGGAGACCCACTTGTGTTCTCTTGCCTCTGGGTCAGTAATGGAACCAGGGTTGGAGAGCTGTCAGTGAGCAAGGGGGAATAGGACAAGACAGAACAGAACAGGATAGAATAGTTTCATCTGGAAGGAAAGTACAACAGTCGTATAGTTCACTGCCTGTAGGAAGATCGTAGCATCCAGGAAAATGAGTTCAGTCCCATCTGAGAGTCTACTGAAGCTTTTCTTTTCCTTTGTGGATGGTTCATGGCATGTTCTAACACAAGCTTTCCGTGTACCCAGCTCCTCGAGAGGAGGTTGCCTACGTGACCTGTACCTACAGGGAGTGTGCTGTGTTCCTCCCCTCAAAGGTAGAAAACTTAACAATGTGGAGACCCACTTGTGTTCTCTTGCCTCTGGGTCAGTAATGGAACCAGGGTTGGAGAGCTGTCAGTGAGCAAGGGGGAATAGGACAAGACAGAACAGAACAGGATAGAATAGTTTCATCTGGAAGGAAAGTACAACAACTGTATAGTTCACTGCCTGTAGGAAGGTTGTAGCATCCAGGAAAATCAGTTCAGTCCCATCTGAGAGTCTATTGAAGCTTTTCCTTCCTGGATGGTTCATGGCATGTTCTAACACAAGCTTTCCATGTACCCAGCTCCTCGAGAGGAGGTTGCCTACGTGACCTGTACCTACAGGGAGACGTGCATCGACCAGCCTGACTTCCTGGCCACCATCGACCTCAACCCCAGATCTCCATATTATTGCCAGGTACCCGTGTCTTGGGTCTTTACTGGGCTGGTGCCCAGCTGCTGGCTCTCTGTGTCAGATCCATGACATTTCCTCGTCGTATAGTTCACTGCCTGTAGGAAGATCGTAGCATCCAGGAAAATGAGTTCAGTCCCATCTGAGAGTCTACTGAAGCTTTTCTTTTCCTTTGTGGATGGTTCATGGCATGTTCTAACACAAGCTTTCCGTGTACCCAGCTCCTCGAGAGGAGGTTGCCTACGTGACCTGTACCTACAGGGAGACGTGCATCGACCAGCCTGACTTCCTGGCCACCATTGATCTTAACCCCAGATCTCCTTATTACTGCCAGGTACTTGTGTCTTGGGTCTTTACTGGGCTGGTGCCTGGCTGCTGGCTCTCTGTGTCGGATCCATGACATTTCCTCCTTCCCACTCTCCTCTGTTTGCCTGGCTCTGGTTGAATCTCCTCCATCGCTGTGTCCTGGGGACAGGTCGCCTCTGACTCACTTCCCAACTCACTTCCAGAGCATCTTGGTGCTGCTGGTGAGCTTTGGAGCACAGGCTCGGAATCACCCTCTCAGGGGCTGCTCGGGGTGGAAAATGGTCTCTAGGGATGCAGGAGGTTTAGAGGATCCAGCACGTGTCTCTGTCGTGCTGCAGTGTCAGAGCTTATCATGTTACCTGCACCAGGGGTGTAAATATGACTGATTAGTCCATTGCTACCAGAGCTTAGAAGGAAATGCACTTTAAAGCCAATATAGGCTTCTGGAAATTTTTAGCAGATTTTAAATCCAGTCTTAGGAGGATTTTGCAGAGCGATGCACTAGTTTGATCAATATGATAATCATAATTTCTTGCTATACACGATTTTCTGCATTTTGCTGTCATGGGGAGAGGAATTTAGAAAGAACCTCCACATTTCTTGGCTGTGCCCAGAACAAGGAGCAGGGTCTCCAGAGAAAGTCCCAGCTACAGTCGAATGGAGTCCACAAAGACAGGAGTATCTGCCAGCGTTAGGGTCCCCGTTTCCCCCTCTTTCCCCCTGTGTGCCCCCTAACTCTGCCTTGGCTGCCTAGGTGATCCACCGCCTGCCCATGCCCAACCTCAAGGACGAGCTGCATGCCTCGGGGTGGAGCACGGGCTGCACCTGCTTTGACAATGTCTCCACCAGAAGGAACAAGCTGATCCTTCCCTGTTTGATTTCTTCCCGCATTTACGTGGTGGATGTGGGGTCCCAGTGCCGGGCCCCCAAGATCTGTAAGGTAGGCCTGAGGTGATGGCAGGACCAGTTTCTGGGAAGGAGTTGGGAACCGGTGCTTCTGGGATAATCCATGGGGAAGAAGGGTTCTCTCTTCCTCTTCTCTTCCACCCTGATTTTAGAGACCAGGGTCATGCTTCCCTCTGCCCTTTTCAGACCGGAGAAGGCTCCGATCCTCATTGTGTTCCTTTCCATGTACCCGCTGCATTCAGAGGGTCAAAGGAGTGGAAGTCAGGCAGCACCTCCTGCTTCCCCCACCCAAACAGAGGAGCTGTTATGGGTTGGGTGTTGCTCAGCGGGGAGCCCAGAGGCTTCTATTCTACCCGAGGAGGAGTAGGCTGGCCCTGGCCAGTGGGTGTTCCTGGAAGAAGAGCTGCTGGAAGCATCAGGGATTCACCAAAGTCTTGGGTGGCTGCAGGCTGTGCTGGGGAGGGTGAGCTGTGCTGAGGAGTGGGAGGCTGACATGTGTGCGTGTCACCCCTTTGCAGATGATTGAGCCAGTGGACGTCTTCTGGAAGTGCAACAAGGGGTACCTCAACGTGCCTCGCAGCCTGCCCAACGGGGACATCCTGATTGCCAACGTGGGAGATCCGGCGGAGTTTAGATTCAGCAGAGATGGTTTGATTTAGCAAAGCAGACCATGAGCTCCAGCACAAGGCAAGCTCCGGCCACCCTGTCACTCCGTGCTTTTACTCCCATCCCTTGAGACTCCAGGGACAAAAGGTGAGCACTGGTGTCTGTCACTGGTGGAGCCTTCTCCCTGTAGAAGCCAAGCTGTGAAGGAGAGAGGAGCAGGAGATGAAGTGCAGGGTCTCCTGATCAGGACCCTGGTTTCTTGTCTGTAACGGCTGCGCTCTTGTCCCCTGCAGGGAAGGCTCTGTCATGCTGCAGATTGACGTGGACACTGAGAAAGGAGGCCTGACGGTGAACAAGAACTTCCTGGTGGATTTTGGGAAGGAGCCCAACGGGCCTTGCCTTGCCCACGAGATCCACTTTGCCTGTGGGGATTCCACCTCCGATATCCTGGCCTAGGGCGCCCCTGAGAGACTCCCTCCTCCTCTCTCTCCTGTAGTGCAGCCGTTAGAAAAGAGCGTAGGGAAATTGGGTCTGGGGGTCCCCGTTCATTGCTGGAGTCTAGATTTGTGCTAAGGAGCCGGGGCAGCTCGGCCTCGTGCCAGGGTTTGGTTTGGGCAGAGCAGTGAGCAGAGACACAGGGCACCTTGTGAGAGCTGGTGTCAGAGCAGAGCCCTCCCTGGGGGCAGAGCCCGGGGCGAGTGCGGAGCTGTGAGGTGTGCAGGACACACAGTGCCTCTCAGCAGGTCCCTCCACACACCTCGGTTGGTTGCCATGGGCCTGTGGGCCACCTGCCTGGCCCTCCCCAGCCTCTTGGCTATTGCTCTCTAGTCCCGGGGCCGGCACAAGGTGTGGGACGCTCCGGTATGAGTCAGAGCTCGTTCACCCTTGAGTACTAAGGCAAGAGAAAGTGAAGTGCCCAGTTTGTCTGCGTTGCTGTTCTCCAGCCAGGTGGTTCCTGGATAGTCTTCTCCTGGCTCCCTGGCACGTCCCCGGGTCGCTCTGCGTCACCGCAGAAGGAATATGAAGTGCTTCGTTCTGAAAAGAGGTGCCTGTTTTCCTGCCACTGCTCTGCTCTTATGTTCTGCTTTAAACATGAATAAAATTGCTCATCGCATCAGCTGCATCCTCATGTGCCTTGTTTCATTGAAGCCTTTCCATGTTGTTTCCAGCAGTGGTTGGTGATTAGGTCTGGGGTTTATAAATCCCTACGACAGAAACACTGGCTGCCCCACAGTGGCTGTTGGTCCTCCTGAAGCCCAGAGGCTGCCAAAATGTGGATATAATGTGAATCCCTTTGAATGTTAGCTTCTTACATTTTGCCTTGGAAGAAAAGGTCTTCACTTTCTTCCATCACACTTCCCACACTTCCCAAACATCTTGCTACAGCTCCCCTGTGCACCATTGATGGTCCCAGGAGAAAAACAATCCCTTCTGGAGAACTGTTTGGTGGCTTCACTGCAGTCACCAAGGGTTCTGTGAGAAACTGTCCCCTGTGGGGCCTCTTGTCCCCGAGCAGGAGAGTGACATCAGACCAGGTCCTGAGCTTCAGGGGTGAGAGACATCCCTGGGGGGCTGCTTGAGTGGGACACCCCATTCTGGTCCTCCAGAGCTGCCTTGTTTGAGGGCCTTCTTGGGGGACCTCCCTGCTGTTGAGGGACCCCACAAAGCCTGTATGTGGGTAGAGGTGCCTCCTCTTCCCCACTGGCAGGAGGGCTCTGGCCAGCAGACACCCCCATCCCCAAGTCCAGGCCGCTGAAGGTGGCTGTGCTGAGTCCACCCTGGAAACCCCTCCGTGGGACGGGGCCAGGCACCATCCCCCTGAAGGCAGGGAAGGGCTCCCCCACCGTGTGTTTGTGGGGTGTCCCTCACGCCGTTGACTGACCACCCTCTCTGCCTTGCAGGTGGTGGCCCGGCGAGGCCAGGACTCAGCCCGTGCTTTTTGCTGGGCCATGAAGATCAGCAGCAGCAAACGTGACCCAGCGCTTCCTTCTGCTCTGCCCAGGTTGGATGGACGTGGACATATTTCTGCTGGTACGAGCAAACTCCTTCACCCCCTCCAAGGCCCGTTCCCAGGTCTTTGGGTCCTGATTTCCATGTCTCAGGGAGCATGGGCTTTTCCTCCTCCTTGGGCATGAGTTCTCTGGAGGCTGGATGCTTTGGTTGTTCCCTCTAGTGGTTATTTGGAAGATCTTCTCCTTGGTGCCAGCCCTTCACAGCCTCCAACAGCTGTCCATGGGGACGGACACTGCTGGCATCCCCCCTCTTCCCTGTGGGAATTGTCCCCCCTATGGCACTCTTGCCGACCTGCCCCAGGGACATTCCTATGGAGGAGGCTGGAAGGTCCAGAAGAAGTTGGTAGGTGCTCATACCTGCCTTGACCTTTGCATTTAACCCCTGGGGCCTCCTGGAGAAACTTTCCTTGGTCCAAGGCAAGGTGGGACAGGGGGGACCGGGGCGGTGGGACTCTGCAGTTCCTCCACAGCGCGGGGTTGAGCGTCGAGCACGAAGCGACGAGCCCACCTTTCACTGAATTTCACTGAATTTTAGAGTTGGAAGGGACCATAGAGATCATCTAGTCCAACTCCCCTGCTGAAGCAGGATTGCCCAGAGCTAGAGCATGTTACTCAGGAGCATCCAGGCGGGTCTTGAAAATCTCCAAGGAAGGGGACTCCACACCCTCCCTGGGCAGCCTGTCCCAGGGCTCTGCCACCCTCACCGTGAAGAAGTTTCTCCTCATATTTGAGTGGAACCTCTTCTGGTCCAACTTGTGCCCGTTGCCCCTCGTCCTCTCACTGGGAACCACTGAAAAGAGTCTGGCTCCCTCCTCCTTCAACCCTCCCTTGAGATACTTGTAGGCATTGAGAAGGTCTCCCCTCAGCCTTCTCTTCTCCAGACTAAAGAGTCCCAGCTCTCTCAGTCTCTCCTCATCAGGGAGATGCTCCAATCCTTGAATCATCTTTGTTGCCCTTCGCTGGACTCTTTCTAGTAGTTCCCTGTCCCTCTTGAAC